GGTTGCAATCATTTTTTTACGTACTGATGATAAACAAAAAGAATTTGAAATTAAAAATACAATGCTGTTTACATTAGAACTCCCCAAAACTGAAATATTTACATATAAATCTATCAAAATATGTATAAGATCAATATATGGAAATTTATGAAACTCTAATGAAAAAAATCAGAGAACTAAATACATTGTATCTATATGTTCATGAATAAGAAGACTCAATATTATCAAGATGTCAGTTCTTCCAACTTGTTCTACAGATTTAATGCAATCTCAGTCATAATCCCATCAAGTTATTTTGTGGAAATCAAACTGATTTTTCAAAATTTTTATGAAGAGGCAAAAGACCCAGAATAGGCAAAAGAAGAACAAAGTTGAAGGAGTGATACTATCCAACTTCAAGACTTAACTATAAGTCTATAGTAATCAAAACAGTGCAGTATTTGAAAAATAGACAAATAGATAAATGGAATAGAACAGAAAGCCCAGAAATAGATTCACCTAAATATAGTCAACTGATCTTTGACAAAGAAGCGAAGGCAATACAGTATGGAAAAGATCACTTTTTGAAGAAAATAATGAATTGAGAAACTGCACTTTCTAAAATTAAAATTTTCTCCACTGCAAAAAAACACTGTCAAGAGAATGAAAATATAAGCCTCAGACAAGCAGGAAATATTTGCGAAAGACACATTGGATACAGGACTGTTATCTAAAATACACAAACAACACTTAAAATTCAACAATAACAAAACAAATGACCTGATTTAAAAATGGGCAAAAGACCTTAACAGACACCTCACCAAAAAAGATATATAGATGACCAATAAATATATTAAAATTGGTCCACATCATGTCATCAGAGAAATGCAAATTGAAACAACAGTGAGATACCACTATACACCTTAGAACTAACAAGTTATTATAGCAAGGTTGCCGGATACAAGGTTAATGTACAAAAGTCAATCACTTTTCTATATATTAACAATAAACAAATGAAATTTGAAATTAAAAATATAATCCAGGGCCGAGCCCATGGCGCACTGGGGAGAGTGCGGTGCTGGGTGCACAGCAGCGCTCCCGCGTGGGTTCGGATCCTATATAGGGATGACCGGTGCGCTCACAGCGCTCACTGGCTGAGCGTGGTGCAGCCGGTCTCAAAAAGGACAAAAATATATATATAATCCAAAATCCAAAACACTGACATCATCAAATGCTGGTGAGGATGTGGAGCAAAAGGAACTCATTCATTGCCAATGGGAATGCAAAACAGTGTAGCCACATTGGAAGACGTTTTGGCAGTTTCTTACAAAACTAAGCACACTCTTATCATATGATCCAACAATCACAAACGTTAGTATTTACCCAAAGAGGCTGAAATTTTATGTCCGCACAAAAACCTGCATAAAAATGTTTATAACAGCTTTATTCGTAATTTTCAAAACTTGAAAGCAACTAAGATGTTCTCCAGCAGGTGAATGGATAAATAACCGTGATACATTCAAACAATGGAATATTATTTAGCACTAAAAAGAAATGAGATATCAAGCCATGAAATGACATGGAGAAACCTTAAATGCATATTACTAAGTGAAAAGGCCAATCTGCAAAGGCTTCATACTGTATGATTCCAATAAGATGACATTCCGAAAAAGGCAAAAGCATGGAGACAGTAAAAAAATCAGTAGTTGCCAGAGGCTAGGGGGAGGGAAGGATAAGAAGGCAAAGTACAGATGATTTTTAGAGCACTGAGAATATTTGGTATGATATTACAATGGTTAATGCATATCACTACACGTTTATCAAACTCCTAGAATATACAATACTAAGAGCGAACCTTAATATAAACTATGGACTTTGGGAGTTAATGAGGTGTCCACATAGGTTCACTGTAACAAATGTACCACTCTGGTGGGGGATGTTGATGGTGGAAGAGGTTGCACAAATGTGGAATGAGGGGGTATATGAGAAATCTCTGTACTTCCCACTCAATTTTGCTAAAAACATAAAGCTGCTCTAAAATATAAAGTCTATGGTTTGTTTTTCAATGGAGAAAACAATAGTTTTCCATGACCTTATGTATTCACAGACACAGGAATTACAGCTTAATTATCTTTCCTTGTGAAAAGGTTACTGTATTTACTGGAATATTTAACACCATCGGAAAAAGTACCCGAATACAGCGATAAAATTCTTAGGTCATCAGCTATTTAATTCTACTCAGAATGTTCTCTTAAATTAATTATGGCTGCTGAATTTAACTCAATTCGGCTCCAAATTGAAGCTAGATGCAACAGGGCCTGACATATAGTAGGAANAAGCACACTCTTATCATATGATCCAACAATCACAAACGTTAGTATTTACCCAAAGAGGCTGAAATTTTATGTCCACACAAAAACCTGCATAAAAATGTTTATAACAGCTTTATTCATAATTTTCAAAACTTGAAAGCAACTAAGATGTTCTCCAGCAGGTGAATGGATAAATAACCGTGATACATTCAAACAATGGAATATTATTTAGCACTAAAAAGAAATGAGATATCAAGCCATGAAATGACATGGAGAAACCTTAAATGCATATTACTAAGTGAAAAGGCCAATCTGCAAAGGCTTCATACTGTATGATTCCAATAAGATGACATTCCGAAAAAGGCAAAAGCATGGAGACAGTAAAAAAATCAGTAGTTGCCAGAGGCTAGGGGGAGGGAAGGATAAGAAGGCAAAGTACAGATGATTTTTAGAGCACTGAGAATATTTGGTATGATATTACAATGGTTAATGCATATCACTACACGTTTATCAAACTCCTAGAATATACAATACTAAGAGCGAACCTTAATATAAACTATGGACTTTGGGAGTTAATGAGGTGTCCACATAGGTTCACTGTAACAAATGTACCACTCTGGTGGGGGATGTTGATGGTGGAAGAGGTTGCACAAATGTGGAATGAGGGGGTATATGAGAAATCTCTGTACTTCCCACTCAATTTTGCTAAAAACATAAAGCTGCTCTAAAATATAAAGTCTATGGTTTGTTTTTCAATGGAGAAAACAATAGTTTTCCATGACCTTATGTATTCACAGACACAGGAATTACGGCTTAATTATCTTTCCTTGTGAAAAGGTTACTGTATTTACTGGAATATTTAACACCATCGGAAAAAGTACCCGAATACAGCGATAAAATTCTTAGGTCATCATTTTTCAATGGAGAAAACAATAGTTTTCCATGACCTTATGTATTCACAGACACAGGAATTACAGCTTAATTATCTTTCCTTGTGAAAAGGTTACTGTATTTACTGGAATATTTAACACCATCTGAAAAAGTACCCGAATACAGCGATAAAATTCTTAGGTCATCGGCTATTTAATTCTACTCAGAATGTTCTCTTAAATTAATTATGGCTGCTGAATTTAACTCAATTCGGCTCCAAATTGAAGCTAGATGCAACAGGGCCTGACATATAGTAGGAACCCAAATAATATTGATAAATTAATGAGTGATACTCAAAAATGTCCAAGGGAGATGTAATTCAGGGAAACATGTGCTTACTTACTCCATTTCCAGAGCACTTTTGAGAACACTGTAGGGCGTCTCCCTTAATCGTCCCTGTGTCTATACATACACTATTAAAGCATATCTAAAACACACACACAAAAAAAAGGTTTCAAGTCAGAAGGATCTAGCCACAATAACAACACAATTAGTAATTGTATAACATAAAACCATTACTATTCAATGCTATAAATTTACCTCTAAATATTGCTTCTGCTACATTCCACAAATTTTAATCAGTTGTATTTTCATTTTCATTTAGTTCAAAATATCTTAAAATTTTTATTGAGCATTCTCCTTTGGCCCATGTGTTATTTAAAAGTGTGTTGTTTAAACTCTAGGTATTCATTGATTTTCCTGGTAACCTTAATGCAAACTACGGACTTTGGGTGACGATGATGTGTCAGCATAGGCTCATCAGTTTTAACAAGTGTAACATTCTGGGTGGGTTGTGAACACTGGGGAAGGTTTTACAAGAAGATAGGGGGCAAGGAGTTTATGGGAACACTCTGAATCTTTCACTCAGTTTTGCTGTGAGCCTAAAACTGCACTAAAATAAAAAGTCTATTTTTAGATAAATAATTTTTTTAAAAGATCCAATGCAGGGATATGGGGGATAGTAATTAAATAAGATTGGCCATAATAAAAGTATCATAACCAAAGAACTACTTTTTATTATAATATCATGAGACCTAACAAAACTATTCCTGAGCTCACAGTTAAAAGAATACCCTATATTCATTGCACATATAAATTTTTTCATAGAAAGAAAATCAATTTGATATAATCATGGCATATATTTTGTTTTCACAAAATATGAGGTATTATTAGAGTCCCCTAAATATTTAATAGAACTAAAAATTTTTATTAAAATATACTAAAGATATATTTCGTTCTGTTATGGAATGTTATCCCGTAATAATAAAAATCCAGATATAATTCTTTTAACTTTGTTATAATTAGAGGACTAAGGATATACTCCCAACTCCATTACTTAAACAATCTCAACTTTCCTAAGTTGCAGGGTTTTTTAGATGAGTACAATAATGCGTTTTCTTTAAAAATGTCATTTTAGAAAATGTAAATAGCATTTGAGTTTGTTTTTAGTTTAAGATAATGTATGTGAACATGATCTCCTTTTAAATATTAGGCACGGCACAACTCTGTCCAAAAAAATGGCCTCACAACACCTATTCTAAATTCAAACAATCGAACCCTTTTAAACCTTTTATTTGTTGAGTTTTCTCACTGTTCATTGGCCATGATGGTTTGTCTAACAACTCTTTTTGGAATGTAGTATCTGTTGTCTGCCTGGCTCTTTTGAAATTGAAATAGAGTCCCACTATGTAGGGACACTAACTTACAAAAACAGAATTGCCAAGAATGTTTTATCATATATGATTTACAGTATCATTAAAAGCCACCTGGCAAAATTCGTTTTTACACATTATCTCTGAGAAGATGTGTTATAAAAAAAATTCCATGTTATAACAAACAGTCTATTCTTACAAAATTACCTATTGAATAATCTCAAACTATCTATTGGCTGTGGTGCATATTTTAGTTGTTTTTGCTCCGTAGGCTTAATGTATCTAGTGAGCTCCCTGGCCTAGACCTTGTTCAAGATGGCATTTATGACTCCTAGGCATGAAGAGGAAACCAGTACTAATGAGACTACATGAGGCTACTTCAAAAAACTTTGTGGAAAAATGAAATTAAAAGATAATATGAATCTTTCCATGAACTTTTTGAAGACTCCTCCTACACTTCACCTATAGTAAACTTCATTTAAACTATAAAACTACTAAAAGTGGCTATTAACATGTACATCTCACATCTATGGATATTAATGCTTGAATATATTAAATAATCAAGTAAGTGGTAGAGTCAGAATTCAAATCTATGTGCATATATCTTTTTATATTGGTTATGAATATTCATGGGGTACAAAGCTGACCATCACCACGGTGCCCAAAATGTGACAGCCAGATCAATACTAGAAGGATGCCCCAAATTGTGATTATTTCCCATGTCCCCCACCCAATTAATTCCTGGCCTCCCTTCCTCCACCCCATTCTTCAGCTCTAGGTCTGCTCTCTGCCTCTGCAAGTCCAGTGCACCACTGTGGTCTTTGTTTCTTTCCTTCTTTCTCTCTTAGTTCCCACTTATGAGTGAAGACAATATGTGTATATATCTTTAAAGCCTCCACTTTATTATATTATTATATTTCCTTATAAACAAATATCTGATCAGGAACTAAATGAGATTTTGAAGTAAATCTCTTTCCTCTGTTTTCTCTAGATTTGAGTTGATGTCAGTGATAACAAATTTTGATAACAATCAATAATAATAGCCAAACTATATTTAGCTCTTACTATGTGCTGGGCATTGAGCTAAGCTATGTCATTTAATCTTCCCAATATCCCTATAGAGTAAATGTTATTATTATCTCTGCTGTGCATGCTGTTGAAGTATCTCATACTGGCTAGGTAAACTGCAAAATGTCAAATTTATAATAAGAGATGAAGATCTGATTCTAAGCAACCTGCTCTAAGTTGTGCTCCTATCCATGGGACCACATAGACACATATATTACTAAGTGAGATTTCTTCTTTCTTCTCCAAAAAGAAAAGTGAGTTTCCATGCTATGGGAAACTCCAATATATTTCCAAAATCTCTCCCTTCCTCACTCCAGCCCCCAAATACTTGGAGTTTCCTTGCTCCTAACAATGAAATTCTGAAGGGAATAAAACATTCCCATTACCCTCTTACTATTTAAGTTTATTCATTTTCTGCTCCAAATATTCAAGATTACATAGCCCTGGAAATTAATTAAATTTGGACACTTAAATGGGAAGATTTATTAAAGCAATGAATAAAACTAGTTTAAAAATATATATATTTTAAATAAATTACCCTCCCAATATCACAATTAGCACCGTTCTTGACCCTCATTGGATCCAATCTGTAGTCTTTTGGCTCCAATCTATAGTCCATAGTTATACATATTGTGTTGCGTACGTAAGCATAAATCACAGAAACGTTTTCTTTTTGGAAAGGAGTTCGAGAAGGGTAGGTACAAACTAATTTTCCACATATAAGATTCCTGCAAACATAATAAAATTATCTGATTAATATACATTAGGCATTTATAAGGAATGCTTCGCATTTGCTTACTTTGACCAAAAAAAAAAAAAAAAAGGAATGGTTTTCCTTTTATGACAATGTACACAGGAAAAATGCAATGCTTAAACCAGTCCACAAATTCCGTGAGTGTATGAAACATTAGGCATTTATAAGGAATGCTTCGCATTTGCTTACTTTGACCAAAAAAAAAAAAAAAAGGAATGGTTTTCCTTTTATGACAATGTACGCAGGAAAAATGCAATGCTTAAACCAGTCCACAAATTCCGTGAGTGTATGAGTATGTTGTGCTAACTAGCAGTTAGCTCAGTGTCTGGCACATAGTAGGTTTTTAATAAATGTTTTGTTAAAATAAACTTATCACCAAAATATCAAAAAGCTAGCTCTTCATAAGCAGGAGAAATTTATCTCATTTTATAGATACTACGTTGTCTTCATCTTGGTCAAGCAATCAAGTGGATAGGGATACTGTTCTTATTTTTAAAAAACAGGTTTAGAGAGGAAATGTGCAGAGGTTTTTAAGAGTTTCTATTTTGTACCTTTGTCTATTTTTTAAATTGAGTTACTTCTCAAAGGAAGACATAGAAATGGCCAACAGACATGAAAAAATGCTCAGCATCACTCAGCATTAGGGAAATACAAATCAAAACCACACTGAGGGGCTGAGGCATGGCGCACTCGGGAGAGTGCGGCGCTGGGAGAGCAGCAGCGCTCCCACCACGGGTTTGGATCCTATATGGGGATGGCCAGTGCGCTCACTGGCTGAGCGCGGTGCGGCCGGTCTCAAAAAAAAAAAACCACACTGAGATACCATCTCACCCCAGTATGACTGGCTATTAGCAAAAAGACAGAAAATAAATGCTGACAAGAATGCAGAGAAAGGGGAACCCTCCTACACTGTTGATGGGACTGTAAATTAATGCAGCCATTATGTAAAACAGTATGGAGTTTCCTCAAACAACTACAGATAGAACGGCCATGCAATCTAGCAATCCCACTGCTGGGAATATACCCAAAGGAATAAAACTCATCATGTCAATGGAATACCTGCACTCCCATGTTTATCACAGCTCTATTTCCTCTAGCCAAGAGTTGGAACCAACCTAATTGTCCATCAATGGATGACTGGACAAGGAAAATATGGGATAGATACACAATGGAATACTACTCTGCCAGAAAAAAGAATGAAATTCTGCCATTCATAGCAACAAGGATAACTTAGAGAAAGGCATGTTAGGTGAAATAAGCCAGACACAGAAAAAGAAATACCATATGTCCTCACTCATAAGTGGGAGCTAAAAAAATAAATAAACAAAAAGATTAAAAAGGAATAAAGAAAGATACAATAATTTGCTGAACTTTCAAAGGGAAAGAATAGAACTGAGGCCACCAGAGGTGGGAAAAGTAGATGGGGAAGAGTTAGCAGGAAATTAGTAAAGGGCAACAAAAAATGACTATATTATGTAATGCTGAATATACTAATTAAACTGATTTGAGCATCACATATTGCACAGAGGTATTGATATTTAACTCAGTGTCACACAGATATGTGCGCTCAACTATGTTTCAATTGGGCTGACCACCGGTTAGCTCAGTTGGCTAGAGCATGGTGCTGATAACACCAAGGTCCAGGGTTTCAATCCCTGTGCCAGCCAGCCACTGAAGAACTTTTTAAAATAAAATAAAACAATTACGTTTCAATAAAAATAAATAGAATATGGGCAAAAGATTGTGAAAAGAAAGTTTACTGAAGAGGATGAAATGAGGGCAAACAAGCACACGAAAAGATGCTCAACATCACTAGCCATTAGAGAAAAGCAAATTAAGATCACAATAAAAAAATCACTCTACACATTTTAGAAGACGTAAATTAAAAATTAGTGACAATACCCAATACCAAATGCCAGTAAGGATGTAGAGAAACTGAATCTTTCATACACTGCTGGTGGGAATGTATTATAAACTAAATGTAGTATAAGTTAAATGTATATTTAGTCTATGAAAACTAAACATACATGTACCATATGATCCAGCAATCATACTAGATTTCATGTGTAGAAGTGAAAACCTTGGTCCAGACAAAAACTTGTACAAAATTGTACATACCAGATCTACTTGTAAAAGACAAAAACTACGAACAACCAAATTGTCCTTCAGTAAGTGAATGGTTAAACAAATTATGTTACACCCATACCATGGAACACTAGTCAGCAACAAAAAGGTACAATAGATGCAACAACATACATGGATCCCAACAAGCAATAGAAAAGTAATGCAAGAAAACTATAATCGTTTTCCTAGATGCTGAGTGAGAACTCATAAAAAACCTGGTCTATAAGAAAATTCATGATTTTTCCCCAGTAAGAAGAAACTTTACTGTATCTTCAGTTAGTCTAAACTGAAAAGACCAAAATTGCCAACCTATATATTTACCTGTTTTTCCTTTCATTACTATATATTTTTTTATTGCTGAATAAAAAAGTACCAAACACTTGGAGGTTTAAAATAACACCTATTTATTATGTCACAGTTTCAGCAGGTCAGAAGTCCGGCCAGACACAGGTGGGTTTTCTACTCAGGTTCTCACTAGGCTGAAATCAAGAACACTTGGAGGTTTAAAATAACACCTATTTATTATGTCACAGTTTCAGCAGGTCAGAAGTCCCGCCAGACACAGGTGGGTTTTCTACTCAGGTTCTCACTAGGCTGAAATCAAGGCATTTATTGGGGCTTCAGGGTCATCTGAAGTTGCAGCACTCTTCAGAGCTCACTCATTGTTGGTAAAGTTCAGTTTTTTGCAATAATTGGTCTGAGACCCCATTTTCTTGCTAGTTGTCTGCCGTGGATTGCTCTTGGTTCTTAGAAACTCCCCTCCCTCAGGTCCTAGTCGCATACCCTCTCACAACATGGCAGCTTTATTCTTTCAAACCAGCAGGAAAATCTTTCCAACATCTCCCATTTTTTAAGGGTTCAAATTATTAATTCAAGCCCACTCAATATAATCTCCTTTTTAATTAGCTCAAAATTGACTGGTTATGACCGTAATTATATCTTCAAAATTCCTTCACCTTTACTATATAACCTAACACAGGAGTGATATTTAGTTAGATATTTACTGGTTTCATCATATATTCATTAAGGATGCTAAATCTTGAGTGAGTGCATTAGAAACATGGAAGCTTTTCTCTTCTTCCCAACCCCGACTCAATCTTGAGTGTGGTACAATGAGAATTTGGGGGCCCCAGTAGCTCTTTCCCTGGCTTGTGAGGCATTGTTTCATGCCAGGAGAGGATGTATACTTCCCTTCACTGCCTAAAGTGGGGGTATCACCCTAACAGAAGCTTACAGTTGCCATCTCCTCCAGTTTCAGAGGCCTGGCCCAGAAATTTTGCCTGGGAGAAAAAGTAGGCTTTAAAAGAGATATCTCCTAATCTCTTCTCAAAGGAACTGAATTCATTTTCAACAGATCATGGAAAAGTTTAACTACAAAAATTTTCTTAAGGACAGTAAGGTTGTGGTAAAAAATAATAATGATAATAATAATAGAGAGAAATTGATGAATCTAATGAAGATATAGCTCGCATTGTGTGCTGGCTAGTTTTCAGGAGGTAACTGGGAAATGAAACAGCTAGATAGAACCCTCCTGGTATTAGAACAAATATCAACAGTGGCCTCACAAAATATTACATTGAAGGAGCCACAGTTGTATTAGTTTGTTTGAAGAAAAAAATTATACCCCAGGGCATTTCTGAAAGCAATAGAGCAATCAGTTTGCAATTAGTGGAGATTAACTACTAGTGAAGGATAGCACTACCAATACCACTGTTGTCCCAGGGTGATTGTGGATATACCCTAAGCTGTGCTGCCCTAAGGAGCAACACCAGAGGTTTAACATTTTGGAGAGTAAAAAACAGACTTCGCTAAAATTATTCAGCCAGTTACTAAACAAATAAACAAGTACATAACAATAACATGTCTAGAGAAAGGGGAGAGAAAACCAGTACCTATAGTTACTACAATATGTTTTCTAAAATGTCCAGTCTCCAACAAAAAATTATGAGTCACAAAAAGAAACAAGAAAGTATAATCCATGCACCATAGGAAAAAAGCAGGCAACAGAAGCTGCCTGCAAGAGTGACCAGATATTGAATTTAACAAAAAACAATTTTAAGTAGCCACTATACCTATGTTCTCAAGATTAAAGGAAAGCATGATTAAAGTAAAGGAAGGCATGACAGTAATATTGCATCAAATGGAGAATCTCAATAAAGATACAAAAATTATTATATAGAACTAAAAAATTATTAACCAAATTTTTATAAAGAACCACATGAAATAAAGAAGTCTAAAGAGTGGATATGAACTAACAGAATAGAGAATTAGCAAACTTGAAGATAGCTTGATAGAGATTATGCAAGCCAAGCAACACAGAGAAAAATGAAGAAAAACAGAGTCTCGGAGAAGTGTGGGGTAACATTAAGCCCTTCAACATACATATAATGGGAGTTAAAAAAAGGAAAGATGAAAAGGAAGGGAGAAATAAAATTGTCTGAAGAGTTAATAGTTGAAAACTTCCCAAATTTATCAGAAAAAGTAACCTACACATCCAGGAAACTCAACAAACTACAAGTAGCACAAATGCAAAGAAACCCACAGACAGACACATCATACTTAAAATGCTAAAAGTCAAATCCAAGGAGAAAATCTTGAAAACAACAAGAAAAAATGATGCACAAAGGAACCCCAATAAGATTGATAGCTGCCTTCTCATCAGAAACCATGGAGGCTGGGATAGCCCCCACCCACGACATCCACATCCAGCCCAGCAGTGACCACTGAGCTGCCATGGGAAGTGCCCTGTACTCCTGAGCTGGGGCAGTGGGGGGCCGAGGGCCTCAGCCAA